AGTCACATTTGATCCTCCATCTGTCAGCTTAATGAGCCGTGACAGGAATTTCCTTTTCCTTCTCCTGAAGATTGCCCCTGAGAGTATTTATGAAGCAGGCAATACCTCCAACCTGCATCACAGGGGTACGTGCCTCAGTGGCACACCAGCACACCGAGTGTGTTCAGGAGACATGCTAAAGCAGTTCCACCGCAGGCTGGTATGTGCACACATCCGTTGTCCGGTATTTTGGCAGGGCAGTATCACAATAAATAAGATGGGATGGGACTTAAGGAAAGTTAATGCACTTCTGATGACTACAAGGCCTTCTTCTCAGCCTGCGGATCTCTGGGGGACGAAGTCAATCTGCGAAAAGAAGAGGCAGGACTGCCGCTGCAGGGGCCACTGGGGCATCAGCGAAGGGCAAGAGAGCCCAGCGGACTGAAAGCCAGAGAAGACAGGAGGCCCCGAGGAGCTGCCGAATCGGCCAAACCAGACACCGCTTTCTGAATGCGACGCGACCGCCACCGGCTCAGCGGTGCCGTGTCACCGGGACCGCTGCGGGAAGCGGGCTTTCCCAGAATTCATCTAGCTGAGGGCCGCAGGCCGGCCCAGTGAGCCACGGCTAATCAAGGGGAGAGGAACAGAAGCAATGGATGCTGGGAGAGAATGACTGCACCCGAGGAGGAGTGCATCTCGAGCAGAGAACTCTCAAGGTCAGCTTGTTTCCAGCCAGTTCCTCTTCCATTCCTTTGCTGGTTCAAATCCCACAGCTGGCAGAGGAATCCTACTGTGTTGGGCCCCTGAGCAAGGCCCTTCATCCCCACTACAGGGGAGTCATGATTACAGGGATTTCAAGAACAAAATGAGAAAGATGTGACTCTCTCGTACACCCTCCTGAATTATTTTTTGGATTTAAAAAAAATTGCTGTATTATAATCAGGCCGAGATGTAAAAAGTTTTAAACTATTTGCATCCTCAAAGGCAACAATACAGGAATGGGAATATTTCTTGAAAGATCAGGGAATATTCACTGTATTAAAAAAAGTCTGGGAAAAACTCAGCATTCAGCTACAAATAAATATTTTTCAATTAAAATGTTGTCCAATGTGATAAATACTTTCTACCAACCTCTCACCAACAGTACAGGGGTTGTAAGCACAGCCTGGAACAGCCAACAGAAGAGAA